TGCAGTCCAAGCTGACCTGGAACTCACAACCTCTGGGTCTCAGCCTCCAGAATGCTGGGATAATAAGCACTTGGCACCATACCCAGCTCTTCTTTTAGATTTTTTTCAGGGAAGGGTTCAGAATGCAGTTAAAAATTCCTGGAAATAACTACAGACTGACTACCAGTTTGTTCGTTTAGAAATCTGACACAGGGCATCATACAGCCCAGGCTAGCTAGCCTCAGATGTAACTACATAGACGAGGCTAGCCTAGAACCCACGGGTGCTAGGATCACAGGTGTGCACCAACATGCCCAGCTTTAGCCTGTGCTTTTAGACAAATAAACTCAGTTCACCTTTGTACACACCAGCGAGAATAGAAACCACCACCATCAGACCCATTTTGCAGATTATAAAGATGAGAGATAATAAAAGTCATCGGTCCAAGCCTGGCTTAGTGATACATGCTGTCAGTCCAGCTCTTGGGAGCCCAAGCACAAGGGCTGCCTCAGTCCTGGCTACAGAGGGAGTAACAGAACAACCAAAACCATGTCTCAAAGATCGAGACTAGGACCAACGAGACGGTTTAACAGGTAAAGGGCACTTGCAGCTGAGTTTGACCTGGACCCACATGGTGAGGAGAGAACCGACTCTTGCAAGCCGTCCTCTGACTTTCTTTTTTTTTTTTTTTTTTTTCGAGACAGGGTTTCTCTGTAGCTTTGGAGGCTGTCCTGGAACTCACTTTGTAGACCAGGCTGGCCTCGAACTCACAGAGATCCGCCTGCCTCTGCCTCCCGAGTGCTGGGATTAAAGGCGTGCGCCACCAACGCCCAGCTGTCCTCTGACTTTCGAAAGTGCCCCGTGACTTTGGAAAGTGCCCCGTGGCATATGTGGGTGCACCTCGCTCTCAAAGTTAGATAAACGGTAAAAGTAAAATGTCACTTTCCCCTGATAACTGTGCTAAGTTGAGAATTTACAAACCCAAAAGGATGCTCTGCTGGAAGTAAATTTCACCCCAGGTCACCCAGACTTTTAATGGGAGGCGGGGCTGGAGGTGCGGGAGTGGAGTGTCCTCTGGGAAGGAGAGGGACCCATGCCCCGCTCCCCTCCCCAGTTTTCTCCCATTCTTACTTGACTTCGGGGTCATCTTTGGTAGGTCTCTTGGGAAGGTACTTTTTCACCAGGCTCCTAAGGGTGGGGACAGAGGCAGGGAGGCTTGAGAACCTGGTCCTCCTGCCGGATCACCGCGGAGCCCCAGCGAGCACCCATCCTAGAGCTCACCGGAGTTGCTTGGCGTAAGCCTGCTCCACCTCAGCGCGTTCTTTCACGAACTTCACGTATTTGTCCAACAGATCCAGACCCCACTGCGTGTGGCGTTCCAGCACCTCAAACTGATCCTGATTGCAGGGGTGCGATTGGGAAGGGTCAGGGTCACCTGGAAGGAGCACCAAAGCCCCAGAGACCCGATGCATGGGAAGGGGGGGCGCAGACAGGGGGCGGGACAAGGCACAACCTCGTGGCTCGGCGGTTCCAGCAAGGACTGGCTGGCTTCCCCAGGCGCCGCCCCGGCGTGGCGCAGGGGGAGGCAGGAAGCTGGCGGGAACCCCCATCTCCTCCTCCCGGGAAGGGCCTGGACAACAGCGCCAGGGCCCCAAGCCGGACGGCGGGGTCTCTCGGAGTCGGGGTGGCCAACAGGGGTGTGGGAGGAGGCTAAGCTACTCCAGCTCCCTCCGAATCCTCTAACCCACCCACCCCCCGCCAAATTCCGGAAAATCAAGCGGGCTTGGCAAATAAGACAGGCACAGAAGGGAAGGGTTTGAGCAGCTCAAAGTGCGTGGAAGGAGGGAACCTCAATGGCCAGATTTCCCCATTTCCACGATCCCCGGGATTCTCCGTTGAGTGACTCAGTTTCCCCTGCTACTGTGATGCCTCCACTACAATGACTTGTCCCCACTGCACCCGAAGACTACACCGCCTCCAGAAAGAGGAGGGGTCAATAGTCCAACAAGGATTCAGGGAAACTTCTAGGGCTTCCTGGGTGAGGTTAAGTGGCGGGTAAGGGGTGGCTCCGCCCAGCGCCCAGGGCCGAGTCCAGCAGCCCCCTTCCCCTCCCCCTCAGCGTCCCAAGCCCTTTAGGGCAATTGCAAGCAGGGAAGCCACCGGGTGAGGCCCCACGTGGGAGAGTAGGTGACCAAAGGGTCCCCTCCCCCTCCCAGCCGCACAGGCGGGCGGCGGGCAGGGACCCAGGGGCCGTAAGATTAGCCTCCAAGCCAGGCCAGGGCGCTCAAAATAGGTGACCTCGCCCAGCTGTCCCCCCCTTCCTGGCCTGGTCTAGGGACTCCTTGGGATGGTCTCACTCTCAACTCTGTGACTCAGTTTCCCTATCCGGGTCCTAGGCAAAGTATGCGTAGGGCCCTTTGGGAGTCTAGAAAGTCCCCAAGGAACTTTGGAGAGAGTGCTGAGGGCAGAGGGCGGGACCCGAGGGATCAGCTGCGGGGGAAACCGCGGAGTCCCGCAAAGGTACATAGGGGACAAAGAGCGGAGAGGCCAGGACCCCAGCAAGGGAGAACCGTGTGAGCTGGGAAGAAAGGACTCACCCACAACTCAGTGCCCCAATCCATGCTGGTCCTGCCGCCGGGGACGCCACTACCTCCAGCCCGGGTCCCCGCCACCCTCCTCCAAACTCAGCCCCAGGGCGGTGTGCCCAACCCCGCCCCGCCCCGCCCCGCCAACAGACCACGCCCACTCGCCTAGACCGTCACGCCCCTTCGCGCTTTGCCACGCCCCTGTCCCGCCGAACCCCAAGCGGGGCGCCTTAAGGGCGGAACCCAATGAGGCGGAGCTCAGCGAATGCTCCGCCCTCTCTTAAAGGGCTATGAACCTCCTTAAAGGGTGCCTCGATTTATTTTCCAATCTACCCCGCTATTATTCTGCTCTGCCATCCCAAACTATTCAGCCTTTCCATTTAACTTCGCATTTCTTATAAAGGATCAAAATATCAAAGCCCCAAACCCAAGGAGTCTCTCCCACTTCTCCCCCACTCGATGGCAGGGAAAACCTGCGGTCGGTCACTAGGCTCTTGCGGGGACCAACTAGGCTCCAGAAATCTCTATTTTGTCCCACTAATGGTCTGGTTCCCTCCGGCCACAGAGCAGATGGTATGATTTCGATCCAGCCCAGGAGGCACCTCCAGCCAATGCCAGGTCCATTAGCGCATCCCCACCGCATCCTGACTTCCCTTCCTCCCCGCCAGAGCCTCCTTTGAGAAACTGAGGACAGGCTGCCCTTGGGGCCCCAGTTTTGGACTACACACACACACACACACACACACACACACACACACACACACACACACACACACACACAGCTCGCGCTTGCCCCTGACTGCCCACTTGCCAGCCGCATTCACTGAGGCCCAATCAGTACTGCGCACCAGATTCCCTCAAGCGGCTCCCGCCGCCCACTCCACCCTACCCCACCCCACCCCCGCCCTAGCGTAGACCCTGGGGCCCCGGGGCTCAGAAGTTCCGATCCTCCCAATCATAAAAGTCCTTTCACGCCTTGTAAATACCCTTGAGGCTCCCGGATGGAAACAAACAAACAAAAAAAGGCCCTGGTGGCTCCCACCCCCTCTCTCCCCGGCCGTAGGTGCTTTCTCCGCAGCTGCAGAAACACCTAAACATCCCCTCCGGTGCTTTATCTGGTAGGGAAGCGCAGTCTGGACTTTTGAGGGAAAATGCCCTGGAGACCCCGCAGGAACTGAGGCTCCGGTGAGCATTAACCCCACCTGCTGGCGGCTTGAAGGATAAGCTCGCAGATGCAAAGCCTAGAGGGGGGCTGGGGAAAGAGGGTGGAGGAGGAGTCAGAGGTCAGATGAGAATGTAGTATCAGACTGGGCTGGGAAGCTTAGCGGCGGGATCGTGGGCTTAGCTAAGAGTCGAAGACTGTCTGCAACTAGGGTCCAGAAGTTGGGACTCCGACTCCTGCAGATCTGGGGGCTGAGTAGAAGATGAGCTTCGGGGGGCTAGGGAAATGGCTCAGTGGTTTAAGAGTACTGACTGCTTTTCCAGAGAGCCCCGGTTCAAATCCCAGCACTCACATGACAGCTCACAACTGTCTGTAACTTCAGAATCTGACACCCTCACACAGACATACATGCAGACAAAACACCGACGCATATAAAATAATAAAGATAAACAAACAAAAAAAAGATGAAGCCGGGCGTTGGTGGCCTTTAATCCCAGCACTCGGGAGGCAGAGGCAGGATCTCTGTGAGTTCGAGGCCAGCATGGTCTACAAAGTGAGTTCCAGGACAGGCACCAAAACAATACATAGAAACCCTGTCTCGAAAAACCAAAAAAGAAAAAAAAAAGATGAGGTGTGTAAAATAGGGTGAGGTGCCTAGGATCGGATTGGGGAGAGGTCAAGATTTCAGTTTGAAATAAGAGCTCCGCCGCTGCAAGGGAGTTAAGCCTGGGGCGGAGTCTGCAGGTGGGACCTAAAATGGCCCTCAGCCTGGGATCAGAAGTCAGCAAAGGGTCAAGAATTTTAGGCTTCTCGGTGGCCCAGGAAAGTTGGAACAGGGCAAGCCTCAACAGATACTTATGTTTACCAAAATCTTTGCTTCTGGCCGGGAACCACTTCCCGGTTGGGGAGGTGGAGTTGGGGGGAGGGAGCAAGTGAGTCCATGGGCATACTGGGAAATGTAGTTTGCGTGCATTGTTGCGCGGATCTGCTTCCTCTGCGTTCTTGGGTAATGTAGTCTTGGACCGTTAAGAGCTGAAGAAGGAATTCCGCTTTAAGGAACAGATATGGGTTCCTAGATCATTGGTGAGTCGTCCTGTTCATCAAATTGCATCCGGGACGATCTGTCTAGGGATTGGGGAACATGAAAGCGGGGCTGAAAAGACTAAGCGCGCCCATTTGGTAAGACGTGTGTCCATCAAAGCATCGCAGTTGATAATTGGGTAATTCGGCCAGGTCGGGCAACGATTGGCTCAGAAGTGGGCGGGCATTATCAGGCGTCGGAGGCGGTGTTGTGGGGCAGCCGCAGCCCCAGAGATGGCAGTGAGCGAGAGGAGGGGGCTCTGCGGCGGGAGCCCAGCGCAATGCGGATGGGGATGCTTGTCGCTGCTGGTGCTGATGCTGGGCGGCTGCTCAGGCCGCATCCACCGGCTGGCTCTCACAGTGAGCCCCGCGGGCTTAGCCTCGCCATCCTCCCCCGATAGCTCCTTCTGGAGCGGCCGCACCCCCACTGCAGGCCGCGAGTGGTCTTGTCCCGCCCCCTCCCCCCGCCCCGTGCTCGCAATGGGTTGGCCTGGCTTAGGGGGCGGGGCTCCATCTCCCGGGACCCCTGACTCCCGGCCCTTTGAATTACGGGGTGGGGGGGGCCCTTGGTAACAACCTTAGGACCTCCTAGGCGGAGGGGGTACCTGGTAAGATCCTCCTGGAATTCACTTCGATGAGAGTTTGGGGGACTAATTTGAAAATTCAGCCCAGATAGAACCAAAAAGTTTTCTGTGAAGACGGAGCTGGTCACACCAGCAGGTGTAACCCACTCTCGGGGTAGTGCGCATCAGTCTAGGGGCCTTCCGTGGAAGCAGGACTCTCAGACCCACCCTGTAGCTGCCTGGGGCCGAAGCAGGGAAATGCCACCACTGCCCTGCACCCAGGAAGGCTTTCTCTCTCGTGTGCTGTGCCCTGAGTTTAAAATGCCCAGACTCTCAGGGGAGCTAGCCGGGAAAGCGCCCTTGCTGACACTGTCTGTCTGGTTTCCTGCAGGGGGAGAAGCGAGCTGACATCCAACTGAACAGCTTCGGATTCTACACCAACGGTTCCCTAGAAGTGGAGCTGAGCCTGCTTCGCCTGGGCCGCCAAGAGACAGAAGAGAAGCAGCCGAAGGTTCGGAGGCTCAAGGGGGCGGGCTCAGTGCACAAGTTCTGGAACTCCATCCTAGCCGTGTCCCTCGCCCATGTGATCTGTGGCAGGTCCCATATAGCCTTCTTGAGCCTCAGTTTCCCCAGCTGTCACTTAGGAATGAATACAGTGTCTCATGCAGTCTGGATGTTTGGGGGTACACATCAAGTCATCCTAGCATCCCTGCTGGCTGAGGCAGGAGGATCAGGTTGCACAGCCCCAGGTTTTTTAAATGCATGGTCTCACTATGTAGCCTCAGCCGGCCTCGAACCCTCTATGTAGCCCAGACTGGCCACAGACTGGGAGGTCTCCCGGTCTCTGCTGTGCCACTCACTGGACCCAGACCCACTTTATTTCATCTGGGGCCACACCCTTAGAGAAAACTGGCTCTCCCTTCCCCTTCATCCGTCAGCTATCCATAGCTCCTCAGCCAGGTGTAGGGGTTCAAGCACCCCTCTTCCCTCCATGCTGGAATGCTGACAGCCACAGCTGCTGCAAGTTCCTAAGCAGCGGTCTGCTGTCCCTAGAAGACATGGTTTCTCTCTGGTCCTCCCACCGCTGGCTCTAACCCTCTTCCCTCACCCTCTTCAGCAAGGTCCCCTTGGTAGAAGAGGTGCGAAACAGATGCCTGGTTTATAATAACGGCCCTTTTTTTCTTTTCTTTTTTTTTTTTTTTTTTGATGGCGTGGGGTGGGGGGTCATTGCTCGAACTCACCTGCCATGCACTGGGAATAAAGGCACCACTATGCCCAGGCAGCCTCATTTTGACCATTTGTTTTGAGCCAGGGTCTCATGTAGTCCAGGCTCACCTCAAAGTCAAGACCCTCCTGCCTCAGTCTCCATGGCCCATGGAACTGCATGTTCTACCCCATCCAGCAGCATTCACATTGTGGGTGGGTAAAGCTAATCAGGCTGTGAAAAGTCTCTTGGAGGGAGTGCACTCTGCATGAGCATGGGGGGGGGGCAGACAGGTCATTGAGCATCCAGCACATGGCGGGTGTTCAGTACCTCCAGGATTGGGGCTCAAAACCGATGCAAATCCAGCCACAACCTGGGCAACATGGCGAGCGCCCTCCCAGCCAAGGCTGCCCCAAAGCCCCTGTCTCAAAGCAGAACGGAACCAGATTGCATCCCTTTCCTGGCAGAGGGTGTGTTCTCTTCCTCAGGTGGGGTTCAGCCTGAGTCGAGTCCGATCGGGCAGTATCCACTCCTACTCGGTGAGTGGAGGGCGTCGGAGGCGTTGAGGGAGAACTGATGTGGTGTGGAGGGCCTGCCTCCTTTGTGTAAGGCCTACACCCCTGGGTTCCTTTCCAAAGGAGGGGCAGGGAGAGGCCCTGGGTGGATGGACAGCGCATTGAACTAGGCTAGACCCACGGGCACTTGTAACCCAGGTCCTTTTTGTCCACTCCCCAGAGCCGGAACTCCCAGGAATGCCCTCTGGAGAGGAACAGCAGCAACTTCTTGGTCCTTTTCCTCATTGATATCAAGGACCTGCAGTGAGTACAGACAGGGGACCCCCCAAAGATCGCAGCTCTGGGGAGAAAGCCCGTCACTTTTGCTGCATGGTACATTGTGTGTATGTGTATGCGTGTGTCCACACACATGCTACCGAAAATTGAACAAGTGCTATCCCCCTGACCACACCTCCAGCCCCTCATTGGGGGATTCTAGGTTAGGGTCCACCCTGGCCACACCCTTACCCCCTCACTAGGGGATTTTAGGAGGGGTTCCACCCCTGACCACACCCCCAGCCCCTCATTTGTACTTTTTAAGACAGGATCTCAGTAAGTTTTACCAGTTTGGGCTTTGAACTCACTCTGTAACCCAGGCTGACATTGAACTTGCAATCCTCCTGTCTCTACCTCCCGAGTGTCTTGAATCACAGGCCTTTCACCTGTAGACCAGGCCATATTGTCTGCCCTTCCCAATAGACAACCATGAGCATGGGAGCTTCATGGACGGGCAGTGACTCAGAGAGATTCTCCAACCGTGTAGGGAAGGCATCCGCACACGTTGCATACCTGACCACTGACTTCACCCTCCCTTCCCTTATTCCTCCTCTCACCCAAGGGTCCAAGTCCGGAAGTATGGGGAGCAGAGGAAGTTGTTCATCTCCCCTGGCCTCCTCCCTGATGCCCCTGCCCAGTCAGACCTCCCGAAGCCAGAGCCACCAACTGGGGCCCCTAAGGAGAACAGTGGTAAGGCCAGGAGGCTGGGCAGAGCTACCCTGGAGAAACCCCAGTTTTCTGCCCATCTGTCGTTTGACAGTCACTCACCCATCTCCTACAGAGACCCCTGCAGTCAAAGAGGATCAGGCAAAGCCTGGAGCACCCCAAGTTTCAGGAGAGAAAATTACCCCGGGGGTACACAGGCTCTCGACAGAGGGCCAGCCACAGAAGCAGCTGCCCACGCGGGACCCCAGCGGGAAAGAAGAAGAATTGGTGTTGGGGCTGGGCCACCTCAACAACTCATACAACTTCAGTGTGAGCACCTGCCCTGCTCAAGTGCCCCCCAAACCCTGCCACAGCTGGGGAACCCTCCTGAGACCCCCTTCCTCCCCATGGCCAGTTTCACGTGGTGATCGGCTCCAGGGCTGAGGAAGGCCAGTACAGCCTCAACTTCCACAACTGTTACAACTCCGATCCTGGCAAGGAGAAGCCATTCGACCTCACCGTGAGTGGCCAGGGGCAGCTGCACCCTGCTCAGCAGCCTTGTCTTTGTGCTCTGGTTGTCTCTGTCGTCTCATCCCACTTTATTTGGGGGCGGGGGGTGAGGGCATGCACCACAGCACGTGTGTGGAGGTCGGAGGACACCTCTCAGGAGTCAGTCGTCTCCTTCCGCCACGTGGGCCCCAGGGACCGAACTCAGGTCTTCAGCCTTGGCAGCAAGCTTCTTCACCCACTGAGCCTTCTTGCCAGCCCCTGTATGGACTTGTTAAAGTCCTCCATTGGGCTTTGGTGTGACATGCAAGCTAGGGTATCCAACTGTCCTCCGATCGGAAGTATTTGAGGGAAGACAAAATTGTATATATTTCAGGTGTGCACAGAACGTGTGTGTGTGTGTGTGTGTGTGTGTGTGTGTGTGTGTGTGTGTTTCATACGTGCAGGGAATCTTGTGTGGTGTGGTGTACATATGGAAGTCACAGTCAACCTCCACTGGTGTTCCTTGGGATGCTGTCCATCTTGATACTTGTGTTTGGTTTGGTTTGGTTTTAACACAGGGTCTCACTTTGTAGCCCAGGCTCGCCTAGAACTCAGTGTAGACCAGGCTGGCCTCGAACTCACAGAGATCCGCCTGCCTCTGCCCCTCCCTGAGTGCTTCGAGTAAAGGCATGCGCCACCACACCCAACTCACTTTGTTTTTTGAGACAGGGTCTCTGACTGGCTTGGAGCTCCCAGATTCAGCCAGGCTGGCTGGTTAGCAAGTCACGGGAATGCTCCCGTCTCCACCTCCATGCCACCACCCCTGGCTTATCTTTAATGTGGGTTCTGGGGATCTGAATTCCACTTCTCGTGATTACAAGGCAAGCACCTTCCCGACTGCACTGCCCCCTCCCCCAGCCGTGTCACGAGCAACCTGTAGACTCGTTTTCTGTTTATTTTTGAATGCGAGTGTGTGTGCAGTGCACATGGAGGTCAGAGGGGACTTGCTGGGGTCTCCTGCCCTCAGAGTGTTCCCAGGGTGGCCACCTGAAGTTCTCGTTGGCCTACACACAGAGAGAGAATCACACAGTATTCAGTGGTGCTCAGCCTGTGGGTCTCAACCCCTTTGGGGGTCACATATCAGATAGCTTGCCTGTCCATTGACATTATGATTCATAGCAGTAGCAAAATCCCAGTTATATAGTAGCAACGAGATAATCCTATGGTGGCGGAGGGGTCACCACAACTTGAGGAGCTGGTGTTAAAGGGTCACAGTATCAGAAAGGCACGAACCACTGGCCTAGATGATCCTGTCACAACGTGTTGGGTTGGTTAGAGTCACTTGTCTCCTGGGTGGCCCCTAGCCAACACCAGGTAACACTTCTGTGTCCTGGTTTACATTGTCCAGTCTTCTGGAAATGTGGTAGGCCCTATGAAAATACTTGTCACTTTGTACAAAGACTGGGTCATCCCTGGGGTCCTGGTGCCAGTCCTCTGTGACTTCTAGTATACGGCTGTGTACCCATTTGAGAGATGGGACCAACTGAGGCGCTCTAGCTAGAAATTGGAAGAGTTGGAGACTGGGAAACCCAGAGCTAGAGCTACAGGGGCAAGGCTGCCTGCCTCCCCTTACAGGTGATGATCCGAGAGAAGAATCCAGAAGGCTTCCTGTCGGCGGCGGAAATCCCCCTCTTCAAGCTCTACCTGACCATGTCCGCCTGCTTTCTGGCCGCAGGCATCTTCTGGGTGTCTGTGCTCTGCAAGAATACGTAAAGCCCCCCACCCCGACCCCGCCCGTCTCTTGTGAGGGCCAGACACCCTAATGTCAGTGGTACCCTCCCCACCCCGTTCTCCCTCCGGCAGATACAGTGTCTTTAAGATCCACTGGCTCATGGCAGCCCTGGCGTTCACCAAGAGCGTTTCCCTGCTTTTCCACAGCGTGAGCACACGGGGCCCGTTGGCGACACCAGGGTGGGATGGTGAGACGGGGCATGTGTCCACCGTGTGCCTTCTCCATCCCTCTTCATACTCAGCCCCGCTCGCCCCGCCCACCCTCCAGGACTGTCCATCATACTGTCTAACCATCCTCCTCCCGCTGTAACCCCTGCCCCGCCATCGTGGTGGGAATCCATCTCCCTCCCTAATCACTCACCCATACTTGGTCTCTGTTCCCAAACTGTCCCCCACCCGTCCATCCTTGTCTGACTACCCATCCATCTGCCCACCTCCAGATCAACTACTACTTCATCAACAGCCAAGGCCACCCCATCGAAGGCCTCGCCGTCATGCACTATATCACACACTTGTGAGTCCCCTGGCTCTGCACACAGGTGGGGAGGCAGGTGGGGGTGGCACCACCTCATCATCAGACCTCCCCGACCCTGGCTTCCCAGGTTGAAAGGCGCCCTTCTCTTCATCACTATCGCCCTAATCGGCTCAGGCTGGGCCTTTGTGAAGTACATGCTGTCGGACAAGGAGAAGAAGATTTTTGGAATTGTGATCCCCCTGCAGGTGAGTGTGTGTGTGGGGTTCCTATGGGGGTTTAGGAAGGCATAAAGAGGGGGACTCAGGAGACATCGGAGGCAGGGATGCTGGGGCGGGGTACAGGGAGGGATGCTGGGGTGGGGTACGTGGTAGGATACAGGGAGGGATGCTGGGGTGGGGTATGGGGTAGGATACAGGGAGTGATGCTGGGGTGGGGTATGGGGTAGGATACAGGGAGAGATGCTGGGGTGGGGTATGGGGTAGAATACAGGAAGGGATGCTGGGGTGGGGTATGGGGTAGGATACAGGGAGAGATGCTGGGGTGGGGTATGGGGTAGGATACAGGGAGGGATGCTGGGGTAGGATACAGGGAGGGATGCTGGGGTGCAGGGAGGGATGCTGGGGTGGGCACAGGGGGATGCTGGGGTGGGCACAAGGGGATGCTGGGGTAGGATACAGGGAGTGATGCTAGGGTAGGATACAGGGAGAGATGCTGGGGTGGGGTATGGGGTAGGATACAGGGAGAGATGCTGGGGTGGGGTATGGGGTAGGATACAGGGAGAGATGCTGGGGTGGGGTATGGGGTAGGATACAGGGAGGGATGCTGGGGTGGGGTATGGGTAGGATACAGGGAGGGATGCTGGGGTGGGGTGGGGGGACAGGGAGGGATGCTGGGGGTAGGGGGACAGGGAGGGATGCTGGGGTAGGATACAGGGAGGGATGCTCAGGTGGGGGACAGGGAGGGGTGCTGGGGTGGGGTGCAGGGAGGGATGCTGGGGTAGGATACGGGGGGATGCTGGGGTGGGGGACAGGGAGGGATGCTGGGGTGGGGGGCAGGGAGGGATGCTGGGGTAGGTACAGGGAGGGATGCTCAGGTGGGGGACAGGGAGGGATGCTGGGGTGGGGGGCAGGGAGGGAAGTCCATGTTGGTAGGGGAATTGGCAGTGGCTTATTTTCAGTGGACAGGGGTAAGAGGATGGGAATACAATCAGGTGGCATGTTGCCATCCCCACAGGTCCTGTCTAACGTGGCATACATTGTCATTGAGTCCCGTGAGGAGGGTGCTAGTGACTATGGACTCTGGAAGGAGATCTTGTTTCTGGTGGATCTCATCTGCTGTGGTGCCATCCTCTTCCCAGTCGTGTGGTAAGGCCCCGCCCAGGCCCTGTGCCCCTCACCTCAGCCCCGCCCAGGCCCCTACCCACCCCACGGGAGTCTCGTGTGCACTGGGTCCGGGTCATGACCACTTCCCACACTCCTCCTGCTCCAGGTCCATCCGGCATCTGCAGGACGCGTCTGGCACGGATGGGAAGGGTGAGGCCCCTCCTCAGTATTTCCCTGCCTTCTGTCTAACGGGTGCCAGGTCCCAGTGTCTCCGTGACTGCGTCTGTACCCCCTCAGTCACCTCTCCCCCTTGCCAGTTGGGCTTGTTACTGTTAATCCTGTTGCCCAGGAACTGCACCCCTGGCCCTGTCCCCTTCTCTGTTGCCCTCCCCTCCCGCCACTTTGAGCGACCCCCCCCCATTCTGTGCCCACCCACAGTGGCAGTGAACCTGGCCAAGCTGAAGCTGTTCCGACATTACTACATCATGGTAGGAGTCCCCGTCCCGGCCTGAGTCTCCCCGTGCCCTCTGCCCCTGACACCAGCCTCACTGGTTCTCTGTGCTGGCGCCCCGTGTCCCACGCGTCCCCAGGTCATCTGCTATATCTACTTCACTCGCATCATCGCCATCCTGCTGCGGGTGGCAGTGCCCTTCCAGTGGCAGTGGCTGTACCAGGTGAGCAGAGCCGGGCTGCGGGGCGGAATGGGGTGGCCAGGGAGCCCCTCCTGATCCCGTGCCCCGGCCCCCAGCTCCTGGTGGAGAGTTCCACGCTGGCCTTCTTCGTGCTCACCGGCTACAAGTTCCAGCCAGCTGGGGACAACCCTTACCTGCAGCTGCCGCAGGAGGATGAGGAAGACGTGCAGATGGAGCAAGTGTGAGCAAATTGTGGGGCATGGGGGGGCGGGGCCGGGAAGGGGCGGGGCCAGGCTAAGCTAGGGGCTTCACTGGGGCAGCCTCACAGGATGGGGTAAGGCCTAGGCTGCTTCTGGGGGGACGGCTAAGCGGGAATGTGGGTGTACGGGGCCAAAGAGGACCAAAGGTGCCATGTGAGTGGCCTTAACACAGACCAAGTGGTGCTTGGAGATGGCCCAGGAGTGAGGCAGAGCTGGCTCTGGGGTGGGCTGAGGATGCGGGGATCCAGGTGGTCCACAGGGATGTAGATCGGTGTGCGCAGCTTGGAGGGCCTGCAGGTCTGGAGTCACTAGGGGTGGAGTTAGAGCAATGTTAGGAAAGGGTGGGTTGTGACACTCAGGCCTGGGGACCTCAGAGGCCAGCTGGGCCAAGACCAGGCAGCTCTGCAGCGGTGGGAGCCAGGCTGGTTTGACAGCACGGTTAATTAAGACTGGTGTACTCACTGCCGGGCTAGGTCTTGGGGTAGAGGGATGGGATGGGAGCAGGCCAGGCCTGTTGCCCTCCAACTGTTGGACCCTAACTCTGCTGTGTGCCTCTCCCAGGATGACGGACTCTGGGTTCCGGGAAGGCCTGTCTAAAGTCAACAAGACAGCCAGTGGCCGGGAGCTGTTGTGACTTCCCCGTGGTCAGCCAGCCACCCGCAGCCCGTCTGCACCCTGCACACCCACGTGTACAGGAAGCACTAGGGGCCCCATGCTGACGAGGCACCCGGGGCGTGGGTCCCCAAGGAGCCTTTCAGGAGAAGATGCCCCTCCCCAGCGCCGCAGCCTTGTCGGGGACACTTAGGTCTCTTTCAGCACAATAAGGACTGCTCTTTGTTTCCCATTTCTTAAGTTCCTTGATGTTGAGGGGTTTGAGTGCCTAAGGCAAGCTGCATTTACGATCTGGAATCCTGGATTCTCAGGCTGTGTGGTGGCACACATCTGTCACCCTTTTGCTCTGGGGATCCTCATGAAACTTTGGACCAGTCAGTAAACAGATAAAAATAAAGAGAAAGCGGAATTCACAGTGAGGGCAGGATGGTCTGCAATGCTGTGCAGGGCCCTGTGTGGCTGCTGGGCAGTGTGACCAAGCGCCCCCTCCCCCCCAGTCCTCAAGGGCCTTGCAGGTCTCCAGAACGAGGATGAGGGGCCACACAGGGATGACCCAGCCTCAAGAGTCTAGTGAAGATGAACCCGTGTGCAACCCGGCTGTGGGAATGCTTGCTATGCCTGTGCCGTGACCCGCGTACAGATGCGTGTACGCTTGCAATCCTACCTTTAGAGGGGTGCACAGGGGCAGACCCCTGCCCTGGCTGCCCAGCCAGCCTAACCTACTTCTTGCAGCCCAGGCCCTTGAGACACCCTGTTTCAAAACTAAGGTGGGTGGTTAACGACTACTTTAGGCCACAGAAAAACTAATAGCGGGGCATGGCAGTTCAAGCCTCTAACTCCAACATTCAGGAAGCCGAGGCAGGAGAGTTGCTAGGGTTTGAGGCTAGTGAGACTCTGTCCGTGTACAGTGAATACTCATGGCCATAAGTACCCAGCAACAGCCTTGGCCTGGTCCCTTGGAGACCCCTTAGAGCCAGTTCTTCAAGGTGGCTCTCCTCTCTGCCTTTCTCTGAGGATACCCAGGAATGTCTTGTAGTGTGCAGACACCATGGGGGGTGGGGAGAGTAAGGAGAGGGCCAAGGGGCCGGGTTAAGGCTCCACAATAAGGAAGCAAGACCAGCTGCAGAGCAGATGAACAAATAGCCCAGCCAGCGGAAGCTCTACAGGCCGGGGAGGGTGTGGAAAGAGGTGGGAGCAGAGCCGGGCCTGGCCGGGGCAGCGGCAGGCAGCCGCCTAAAAACAGACTTGAGGCTTTGACCCAGGACACTGCAGCTGTGCACACGGAAGTAGACGCAGCGATAGCCCTCCCATTCCAGAGATGGGCACGCCCTACTCACCAGATGTGAATGTGTCCCCTAACAGCGCAAGGGAGACCTGAAGGTGACACCAGTGAGGGCACCCTGGTTGGGCCCAGCGTCCTCACATTGCTCACCATGGGCAAGTGGGCCAGGTGTGGCGGCCCACGCCTTCCATCCCAGCACTCAGGAGGCAGAGGCAGGAGGATATCAGTGAGCTCGAGGCCAACCTGGTCTACAGAGTTCCAGGACAGCCAGGGTTACACAGAAAAACCTTGTCTCCAAATTAAAAAGAAAGAAAGAAAGAAATTCTGGGCTGGAGAGATGGCTCAGTGGTTAAGAGCACTGGCTGCTCTCTCAGAGGACCTGGGTTCAGTCCCCAGCACCCACTCCAGTTCCAGGGTTCTAACACCCTCACAGATACACACGCAGGCAAAACATCAAAGCACAAAAACAATGATGAATGGGAAGAGCTAGGCTAGAGCGGGGGCCAGGGAAGTGAACCACATAGCATCCACGCCTGCGCTCCACAGCTCTCTCAGGTGCCAGCAGGAGTGTGAGCTAGGAAAAGGCGGGGGGGGGGCGAGGGAGATGGGCGTAAGGCACCTACCTGAGCCGCCCATTTGCCAGGTGACTTCAGGGTCTCTCCAGACCAGGCTCAGACTCGACACCTGTGGGGGGAGTGGGGGAGGGGAGTGCCCTGTGGCTGGACTCTGACCCCGTGCCCCCCCCCGTGCACCGCACAGAGCTCAGGGAAGAAGCTGTTGTCACAGGCCCTGTGGATGGCACAGGGCTCAAGGTCCCTGATTGTTAATGAGTTACTGGGTAGGAAGAGAGGTCAGCCAGCCTGGGCACTAGCTGAACAGGAATTCCAGGAAAGCCATGCAGCAGGGACCTGTCTGAAAAGTGGGGAAGCAGACAGGAACCTGGGCTTCCAAGTAGGGAGGGAATCCTGCGCAGGAAGTGGGGGAGGAGTGCATAGGGGTAACCACACCCATGCAGTCAGTTGAAGTGTCTCCCACCCAGAAATCAAACCCATGCCTTTCCTTCCTTCATCCTCTCCAGACACCGGGCTCAGCACTGATAGAAGAGTCTGCAGCTCCCTCCTTTGTAGTCTGACACCGGGTCCTGCTGTGTAGACCAGGCTGGCCTGGAACTCCCAGTGATCTGCCTTCCTCCGCCTCCCCGAAAGTCTGTCTGCACAACCACACACGGCGGGCATTTCTCAAAGAGCATTCTATTTGAATTATTTTATTACTCTTAGGCAGGGTTCTCATGTAGTTCACGCTGACTTGGAACTTCTGGAAATCCTCCTGCTTCAGCTCAAGAATGGCAGACATGTACCACCATGCCTGGCACTACTCTCCAGAGTGTGTGTGAGTGTGTGTGTCTGTCTGAGTGTGTGTGATTGTCTGTGTGAGTGTGTGTGAGTGACTGTGTGTGTGAGTGTGTGTGAGTGACTGTGTGAGTGAGTGACTGAGTGTGTGTGTGTGAGTGACTGTGTGTGTGAGTGTGTGTGAGCGACTGTGTGTGTGACTGTGTGTGTGAGTGTGTGTGAGTGACTGTGTGTGAGTGTGTGTGAGTGACTGTGTGTGAGTGACTGTGTGAGTGACTGTGTGTGAGTGTGTGTGAGTGACTGTGTGTGTGTGTTTGTGACTGTGTGTGAGTGACTGTGTGTGAGTGTGTGTGTGTGAGTGACTGTGTGTGTGACTGTGTGTGAGTGACTGTGTGTGTGAGTGACTGTGTGTGAGTGTGTGTGAGTGACTGTGTGTGTGTGAGTGACTGTGTGTGTGAGTGTGTGAGTGTGTGTGAGTGACTCTGTGTGAGTGACTGTGGTATGTGAGACTGTGTGATTGTGAGTGTGTGTGTGTGTCTGTGTGAGTGTGTGTGTGTGTGTGTGTGTGTGCCCAAAGTAGATGCCCAGTGTCTCTACTAGTCACTCTGCGCTTCAGTTTATTTACCAAGACCTGTCACTGAACCGAGAGCTCTCTGGCCCCCTCTGGTCCATCAAGCCAATTTGCCCAGGGCCCAGGGAATCCTGCCTTTGCCCCTGCTGGGGTTACCACAGGATGCCAGAATGCCAAAGTTGCTAGCGTTATACCCACTGAGCCATGCCTCAGGTCTTGATGTACATCCCAGGTTGGTCTCAAATGACAGTCCTTCCTCAGCTTCTTAAGTGTTGGAATGACGGGTGGGCACCACCGTACCTGGCATGACTCCACTTTTTCAGTGTGTGTGTGTGTGTGTGTGTGTGTGTGTGTTTGTATGTTTGTTTTAGCCAATTACTTTGCACAGATCTTATAAACAGCCTTGAGGCCAGAAAGATGGGCACATGACCCCCACTCCTTGGGAATCCCCCACATTCTCCCTGCCGTGCGACTCTGCAGGCCCCCCTCTCCCCCTCCTGAAGTTCTGATACAAGTTCTTATTTCCCTAGAGGAGAGTCACAGGGTTCAAGAATTCCCCATTTCTCTCTCATTCTGCCTCTCCTCCGACTTTCTCCCTCCCAGTGGGCACTGGTCCAATCCTGGCTTCCTGGTTACCTCCCAGCACTAATTGCTGCAGTCTGGTGACTTCCCCAGAAATCAGGACTGGGCCCAGACCCTTCCCACATTGCCAGCCAGACCAGAAGCAGGAATGACAGTTAATCATCAAGTTGAAAATTGATCTTTCTCCACCCCCACTCCCACCCCCAGGGTGGCTCCTTTGTTTTCAGACCTGTCAGGCACCCACCTCCAGCAGACAGGGTAAACAAGTCCACAAAGGACAAACCAAATCTGGTAGCCAGAAAGAAGCCACCACTGGTAAATCACAGAACCCTTGTAATTCAGGCTACAGTGAAACAATGGGACCAGGAAAGACTGGGGGTGGGCGGGGCGTGGGGGTGGACACTTGCTGCCAAGCTGAGTTCCATCTCAGGGACTTATAATAGTGGAAGGAGAGAAGGGGGTCCCACAAGTTGTCCTCTGACCGCCACACACACATGAGTATAGACAATCATAAATATTAAATAAAATGCTGTTTTTTAAAACGTGTTAAATAGAACAAAACCAAGATCTGAGTGCCTGGGCTAGGGCAGAGGCAGAAGAAGGGGAACACTTAGAGATTCAGTTTCAAAAGCTGGGCCCCAGTTTTGGAGGTAAGCTAATGTGCGCACCTCCCCTCCTCCCTCCTTCCCTCCCTTCTCCTCCCTCCTCCCTTCCACAGAAAGGATGTTGCAATCCCAGCTAAAAGACAAGCCAGGTTTGTTCTAACCCCCAGCCACCCCTGTGCCCCGAGAGGCCAGGAAAACAATGGTTTACAGGAAATCATGGAAAAATCATCCCCTTAACCCCTTCAGGGAGGTTCACAAACGCCTGTTCGTGGATTGGGCATCACCAACCACCTTGGTTCACCACAGCCATGCATGGCCCAGTCTTAGAGGACAGCATGGGGTGGTGGTGGTGGGTGACAGGGAGAGGCAGAGATAACTCCAGGTAGATTCCTGTTACTATCCGAGACTCTCAAAAAGTTCCCAGGCAGGTGGGTGTGGCCACCTGTCACCTCAGCACTTCAGAGCTGGCCTTATGCACGCACATGCACGCGCACACACACATACACGCATGCATGCACACACGCACAGTGGGCTGCACGGTGGGTGGGCAGAGTGCTTGCCTAGCATACATAAAGTCCTGGGTTCCATCCCCAGAACCACATAAGCCAGGCATGGTGGGAACTGCCAGTCACCCCAGCACTCAGGAGGTGAGGCAGTTGGAGCAGGGGTTGAAGGTCATCTTTCTTTACAGGGGGACTTTGAAGCTAGCCCAGGTTACAGAAGCCGCTCTCATAAGACAAAAACAAAACAAAACAAAAACAAGCAAACACAAAACAGCTAGAGTTGGTGGCCAGACCTTTTCAAGCACTTTGGAGGCTGAGGCAGATGAATCTCTACGTTCCCAGCCGGCTAAGACTACATAGGACCCTATCTCAAAAGATCTGAAATTCATCAAACATGGCCTGGCAGCCAGGCCTGAGGGAAACTGGCAATTCATTTCCTGGAATTTACAACCCAGCCAGCAGGTCTCTAAATCTGTAGAACCCCCAAAGAGAGAGAGCTAGCAAGATCCAGCAAGATTGCCCACAAC